AATTCAAATAGACAGAAAACCCCACTAATGTTACCACTTCTACTGGAATTGGGGATATATGCAAACGGGTATTTACACCAAAACTTGAAAATAAGACTAGTATTTTCGCCACAAATGAGTCATTTGATCTCATGGTCTGCGTTATAAAATCATCACCTTGTTCATTTAACTTTTGTTTGCAAGTAAGCCTCGCCAGTTACCAAGGACAACAGTACTAAGATAGTTCAGATCTTGAAACGAATTTGTTTCTGTAGCTTACCAATCAAACGGGACAATTATTTAAAAAGTCTTAAACAGTCCTAAAAAATTTTGGCAATTTGCCAATGTATTCCTTCTTCCTGCTAATTTTGAATGGAAATTGCTGACGTGGACTCCAGCGTACTATGTGGCACGATCATCACTGCCGGCGTTGACGTGGACTATTTTTGCAATTTTCTTTAAAAACTTATGAAGAAATTTTCTTCTTTCCTTTTCATTTTTCATTTTTTTCCTATTTCCCTCCACAGGTCGTTGGGGCCTCGGCTATGGTTAATAAAGGTCACTGGCCTCTAGCGAGGACCGCGATGCCCTTGCTAGATTTAGCAAGCCAATTTAGATCTAAACATTTTAACAATTTATCAATGTAGTTCTTCTAGTTAATTTTGGTCAGAAATCGTTGACGTATACGCTAGCGTCCTATGTGGCATGGCCGAGTATGACTAACATTGACGTGGACAATTTTGCAAATAGGAAAAAATAGAAAAATTTAAAAATTTAAAAAAAAAAAACTGCAAAAATAATTAACGTTAGCAATTTCCTGCCAAAATTAGTTTGAAGGATTACATTGGCAAATTTTCAAAAGGTTTAGGATTAAATTGGGTAAATTGAAAAATATAGGACTTATCGTCATTATACAATAGGTTTAGAACATTTTAGATAATTTTCCCCATAATCAAATCCAATATTACAATGGCGAAGTTCAACATCTTCACAATGGGATGACAACTATTTCTCAATGAAAGGACAAGTATAATGAGGCTTATCCTCTTCGTCAGACAAAGGGCATGCTTGTGTACGCTTGAACAAAAGGAAAAATCGCCTGAATTCAAAATATTATCAGAATTTTAGAAAATTATGAAAAAACAATATATGGATTAATGTGTCAAAATTTGTGTATTGTGAAATTTTTAAGTTACGGGGTAAGAAAAAGTCAATATGTGTCCGTTGGAAGATGTGGATTAAGGAAAAAGCAAAAATTAGAAACCTATCTAGGCATGGCCAAAACATTCATGATTATGCACAGTGAGTGAACTGAAATAGATAACCACATGCATGTCACACAACTTCATATTCTTACTCCATGGTTCAAATCCAATCCCTCTCAAGAATAACTCATTGAATGCTCCGAGTAACAATACATGTTATTATTGCCGAACTTCGGTATACTCACTGAGTTTTCGAATAGCCGTATGCTGATTCCTGTTTATATGTTGTTAGAATTGAGAAGAGAAATAGCTTCTATCCACATAAAGAAGTATTTGCAAGCGGAGTAATCCTGCCTTTGGCCCTTTTTGAATTTGCAACAATTCCTGCCTTCTTGGTACACGGTTTAGGTGACGGTTGACGACGTTAGGTTCCTTGACTATGTGACACGGCAGAAGTGTCTTGGCAAGTTCTTAGAAGAAAAAAAGAAATAAACAACACCCGTTAGATCCCACGAGAGTTAAATCAACGGTCGAAGCAAATTATGGTTTTGTCCCTCGTCTAATGTTATACCATTGCTAGCCCCGAAACCCACATGCCTTGCGTTCGAAACAAAATAAAAAGAAAATTAAATACATAAAAGAATGCTTTTTATACTTGGTCTTAGAAGATAGCTTTGATCTTTCGTGAAACATAAAAAAGATTTTTTTATGCATAATAAAATAAGTTTTAGATCGTAATTTGGAGAGTGTTAGAAGTTTAAGGGATTATCGTGATGGAAAACATGAGATTCAAATTTCGCCATTTGCCTACGTTGTTTGATTTTAATTCATGATGGGCTTTTCAAGGAATTCAAATGCGCGAGGAAGTGAGGTGTTGGGAATGGAGGGAATTTGGGGATGAATGGGAAGTGGGTTGAATGTATGGTTCATTTATTTGAAGGAAAACCGTTTTCGGGATATTGTTTTCTGACTTTCTAATATTTGGATGACGGAAAATAAATCAATTTACGGAAAACATTTTTCATAATATGGAAACAACAAGCTTAAATTGGGGGAAACGACTTTCCCTTCTAGCAATAAGGAAATGTCTATCATGCAACAATAATATGATGGGCAAGAATTGACGATCAAAGTCTACTAGACTTTGGTGTTAGTGTTCAAGTAAGTGTGAGTCCCGTATTGAATAAGTTGAATTTACCGAATGTGGAGATGACTTTGCAGTTTTCAGCAGTAGCCCAGCTTTAGTTGAGAGTAAAGCGAGAGGGATAAGTTTATGTTTGTCTTGTATTGTGTCAAGGTATTGTTATTAGATGATGTTGGTATATTGTTCCAAGGTAAATTATATAGCAGCTTCTTCTTTTATGTTTTTTTTCTTTTTTTCCTTCTTTTTGCGGGTCATTATAAGGAAGTAGGCCTTGGTAGGAGTTGGCTATGACCTAATCGAATCCCGGTTCTGATCCACTATCCATGGTTGGATACCTTCTGTGATTTTAGCTTGATTTTTTCACATACTTTCAGGGGTGAGAAAACGAATAGTTTTTATCTGTTGGATTGAGAATGCTTGGCTGGCTTGGTTTGTAATTGCTATCATGAGATTAAATGGCCTATTGCTTTACTGAGGTGAGGGTCGAAGACTGGCTATGCAATCGCTAGGCAGATTGTGAAATTTGCCGGACCCGGAGGTGATGAAGTATTGTTTTGGGACTCCGATATCAATTGCATTCGTTCGTTTTTTTGTGTTACCCAACCCCTAGACGACTCTTGAGGTAGGGTCATTGGCTTTGAGTTCTGATAATAACCTTTTAACAGTTGGAGCCTTTGGAGCCTTCAAGGGATTGTGGGGTGATTTTTGACTCGAAAATAATCATGGATCTACAAAAAATAGATGATGAAAATGACAGGATTTATTACAAACAACATGCAACAAAATTGATACCCAAACACAAGTAAATTGTTGGAATTTCAAACATCAGTTGGCACATCGTTGATCAGCTGAACAATTTCTTGAAAACGGTCAGAATCTCACGCAAGCAGACATGCCAAAGCAAGCACTAGCAAGCACACGTTATCTGCTCCGGAACCATGGACCACCCGCTACAGGACCGGTTCCAAAAATTGGAACCGAGAACCGCCCATCGGTTCCATGGACCCACCCGAGAACCGGACTGCCGGTCCGATCTGGTTCTTGGGCGGGTCCATGGAACCGGTCTCAACAGGTTTTCCTAGACAAATAAAAAAAAATTTCTGTGGACCAACATCGGATCAACAGAACAAAAGGAAAAGAATATAACTTTTCATACAATTCCTACACTATGATCGATTATATTAACCACATCATCGATAAATCAAGTGGGTACCCATTAATTATTAGGAAAAATGACCAAGGTATCCCAACTACACAAGAGCTTCAGACATGATAACAAATTTTCTTTTTTTTTTTTTAATTTTTTTTGTTCAGATTTTTTTAATTAAAAATTTAAAAAATAAAATATATTATTATTATATTACCGGTCCGGTCCGGGTGGGCGGGTGGGCGGTTCCACACCGGGAATCGGGAACCGGCCCAAACAGTATCGGTTCCAATTTTTGGAACCGGGAACCGGACCGGTTCCCTTGGGAACCACCGGTTCCGGTCCGGTTCCGGGCGGTCCAGGTGGATCCCGGTTCTTTTGCACACCCCTACCTTGAAGGCTCCAACCCTTGTTATTATCAGAGCTCACAGTCAATGACCCTGCCTAAACAGTCGTCGGGGTTGGGTAACACCCAAAACGAACAAATGCAATTGATATCGGAGTCCCAAAATAATGATTCATCAACTCCTGGTTTGGCAAATTTCACAATCTGCCTTGTGATTGCATAGCCAGTCTATGAACCTCACCTCAGTAAAGCATTAAATCTCGTGATGGTAATTCCTAACCAAGCCAGCCAAGAATTCTCAATCCAACATATCAAAACTATTCAGTTTCTCACCCTCCAGAGTAAGTGAAAAAATCAAACTAAAATCACAGAAGGTATCTAACTATAGATAGTGGATCAGAACCGGGATTCGATTAGGTCATAGCCAACTCCTACCAAGGCCTCCTTCCTAGGGGTAATCAGTTTCCGGTTCCAGTCCAATGGAACCGATCACTTTTTTGTCCCACTACTTGATGCCATCTTTTTGTGTTCCCCACCACTCTTTTGGAAAAGATATGAGTAAAAGGACTCTAACTATGTGCTCATATATCTTCTACGATATACAAAAATTAAAAAAGTAGATTTATAAATTGCAGATCAAAAACAATAAACTAAACCCACCAATCATCGAGAGATAAGGATTATTTTGCAACCATGAATGATCAAACATCAATAATGATCCTCAAATTAAAAGACGAACCAAAAAACTACTTTTTCTTTTGGTTGGGAACCAAAAAAGTACTTCACTTAGGGTTTAGTTTACATTTTAATAATTTTTTCAAAGAAATAAAAAAAAAGTATATGTAGTCGGTTCGGTTCCCGGCTCAAACCGGACCGACACTTTCGGGAACCGGACCAAACCGGCCAGTCCAGTCCGGTCCGAGCGGTTCGTTTTGCACACTCCTAGTCCCTAGCAAAAAGAAGGTTAAAAAGAAGAAGAAGAAGAAGAATCTGCTATACAATTTACCTTAGAACATTATACCAACATCATCTAATAACGATAACCCTAACACAATACAAGACAAACAAAACTTATCCCTCCAGCTTTATTCATAGCTAAAACTGGGTTTCCGCTCAAAAGTGTAAAGAAGTCTCAACATCCGGTAAATTAAACTAATACAATACGTGACTCACACTTACTTGAACACCAGCACTGAAGTCTTGTAGACTTTGATTGCCAATTCTTGCTCGTCAGATTATGTTGCAAGATAGACATTTGCTTAACAAAAGTCAAAGTGACAAAAGGGTCCAGTGACTATGCAGTAGTAGCAAAAGTATACATCACAAGTGAAATCTTGAAATTATAACAATGATGTGGAAAAGTTCCACCTACAAACAATTGATAGAAAAAAAGAAAGTAGCGAGTACTGCTGATTGTAGATAATACTTGATGGTTGAGCATCTTGAAGAGAACCATCCGAGTCTTCTGATCAATAGCCTGCACAACCATATCCATGAGAACTTCTCGGAGATGCTAGTATCACTTCAGTAACTTTTAGGAGTGGGATGGGGCACTGCAATCGCAATAACTTTTAGAAGTGGTCTTACTTCTGAATAATTATTGCAAGAGGGGACATGAACCAATGCATACACCCATCAAACATTTTTTTTTTTGGCCGAACATCATACAGTTTACTCAGCTATGATTCAGTCAAACCGAAATATTGATTTAGCAAAGAGACAGATTAAGCTTGCAATAGGGTTCGTTTCAACTTCAAAACTATTGATGATAAAATAAAAGTAACTATAGTTTGTTTTCCTATATCCATGAAGAATGATAGATTCTGAAAATTAATTCCGCTCGTGCTTCTTGCCGAGTACAGAAGATTTCACCCTGGGATAGAGGTGCAAAGCAAAAGGAAGGAGGCCAATAAGAAACTGACTGAAAATTCTAATAGATCTTTAAGATGGACACATATTTACAGGGGATATATTGTCTTGAGAAAAATCCAAGCAGCAGATTACACTTAGTACAAAGAGACCGTATTGTGGCTGTTGTTACAACGGCAGCATGGAGAATTTTCATCGAAATATTTACCAAACGCTCTGTATAACGTTGATCAATCTTTTGATGAAAATGTACTTTACCTGCTCGACAGTTACATGGTCAGCTTTCTCATGACTTTTAATTTTGCCAATAGCCATATCCCGTACACTTTCTCAAATCGAAGTTGTAACTTTGCTGGACATGCCAACATTCACCCTTCCCTCCCACTCTTCCAGCATTCATTCATACAATTCATCCTTTCAATGAGTTAAATTCTCAGCAACATATAAGAAGCAAGAAAACATATGAGCGCACGCCAAAACATGTTTGGATGCAGAAGGAAGTGGTAGATATAGTATCAGTGCACTATATATCACCACATGCTTATTCATGTATCAAAAGTTCCAATCCAAAAAAAGTATCAAAATCTAAAATAGCATATGCTGATTACCAACCAAAATTGATGACATCATGAACTCAAGATTCTTTCTTTTTGGTGAAAAGTGGAAAAAGTTTAAAAATTGAAATTTCTTATGAAGTTCTATCACAATCATGGAAGTTGATGAAACTCGAAAGTGTAGACAGCACATAAGGGGAGACAGTAAAAAGGAGATTCACTAGTGTCATTTATTTGACTGTTACCGCAAGTAGACCTGCTATAGACAAGGTATATGTTTTCAAGCATTGCCACTTGATAAGTTTTGAGCACTCAATACAGCCACTTGTAAACAATGTTAGTGAAGCCTATAGATAATCTATCATCGCACTAAAGGCAAGGTTTAAGAACTTCAATGAGAAGTGTTTGCCTTCTCAGGTAACTGATCAAAACTGTGCATTCTAGGAAAGCAACCATTCTGAGCAGCATATTACTCCAGTCACACTATATCAGTACAAAATTAATCACTAGATTATCCAGCCCTCTCGACAGAACAACCCGTAAGAATAGAAACCAATCCTTGTTATACTAAAAATTCCTCCTAGCTCATTTTTATCTATAAGAAGTTCTCCAAGCAGTCCTCACAAGTGTTTTTCCAAAGAAGATAGATTATGATCCAGTCTGTTTTCACAGCTCATTAGGATGCTAAACCTATGCTTCAAAGGTTAATCTTGTTGTAACGCTGTTGCCCCATTTTTCTCCTCCAATTTATTCAAGCAAGAAGTGATGTTCTTACCTCTTTTTCTTATTACATTCAATTGAAGCACGGAAAAGAAGGAGAACTGTGACTTTAGGCTTTTCAGGCAAGCCAAACACGTTGTAATCATTGAAGAAAACGTCTAATCCCCAACAGCAGAAAGGAGACCTCAAAATTCACTCTCATGCAAGCTATAGATTGGTCCAAGTGATTTAGCAACATACAAGAATTAAGCATGCTCTTGAATTACAAACTAAATACAGATATTGTGAATTAGTTAAATGAAGTAAATAAAAAGGATAGTCAAGCAACAAGAGAGAGGAACTTTACCTCCTCCTCCTCCTCGTCTTCTTCTCCTTCTTTAATTCCTCCATTCATTATTTCTAACCGTACTTGCATTGACTCTTCTTCCCTCGTCTTCTTCTCCTTCGTACGCTCCAAGCTGGGCAGCTTCGTGCTCTAAGCTGGGCGGCTTCTCGAGTCCCAATGCTGTCGGCGACACTGTAAATATTAAAAAATTAAAAAATTCAAGATGAGTAATTTTAGAAAGTATTTTTATCTTATTAGATATAAGAATTTACTTTCTTACATTTATGAATAAATATTTTCCTTGGTCAGAAAGTGATTTCAATTGATCAATAATTTTTGGCGAACCAAACGAATAGAAATCTGAAAAATTAATTTTTAAAAAACACTTGCACTCAAATAGACACACCTTAAAATATCAGATGGCAGCGAAATTTTGTCGCCCTGCCATGAGCAAACAAGGGAATTTGCCCATCAACATGAACCGAAATTCGTCGTTGCCAAAATTCGTTGCCCTGCCATGGGCAAAAAGTTTCCTGTTGTTTGGCCGACACATTTCCAGCCGTCGATTTTCTCCAAGATCTGACGGTCCAGGCCTGACCCTGGAAATGAAGCCAAGACGACTTTTGCAAAGTCGAGTCCTCGTCATTACATAAATATACAAACAAATGTAGAGCCGAATATTAAAAAAAACAAAAAAGAAGAAGAAAGGTGGTACACAGACCCCCTATATATACCCTCCACCACCAATTCCCTCTACAACTTGATCACAAAACCCAAAAACAATCACAGAGTTCATTAGCCTCCTGCATCTCCCGGCCACGAACATGGCCGATCATTCAGTGACACCCGAAAGGTACTTATACATTCGTGCGCATATGCTCTAAATGCTTTGCTTATAGCGCATATTAGCAGCTAGTTTTTTTTTCCTTTTGAATTTATTCTTCTTCCAATTAATTTCTTCCTAATTCGGTACAGGGAGAATGGACAACCACAACAGCAGCTCCAACAACAAGAAAGTTTTGATTCAACCAAGAGATTTCACATTGTATTCAATTCGCTCAAGCTGCTCGTCATCGAGCATTTCAATTCGCAGCATACCGAGGCATTGAGCCACCTAGTTCTACAGTTTTACATCATTTGCGAAGTTATCTACCTCGTAGCATTGATCAAAGTGACCGGACAGGCGAGTCGGAACCCGATATATCGGTGCTTGTACATCATTTTCGGTACTCTCGCTTCTGAAGTGCTTCTGTGGACGAACCTGTCTCTGGCCATGTTGCTGGTCGTCAACATGTGCTTACTAGTGTTTGCTTTGGCATGTCTGCTCGTGCGAAATTTTGACCGTCTTCAAGATATTGTTCAGCTAATCGACGATATGCCAACCAGCTGATCAATGCTATGCCAACCGATATTTGAAATTCCGGCAATGTACTGTATTTGGGTATTAATTTTGTCCCATGTTGTTTGTAATAAATCTTCTTATTTTCATAATCTATTTTTGTAGATCCATGATTATTTTTGAGTCAAAAAGTCACCACAAAGTCCCTTGAAGGCTCCAACCCTTGTTATTATCAGAGCTCACAGTCAATGACCCTGCCTAAACAGTCGTCGGGGTTGGGTAACACCCAAAACGAACAAATGCAATCGATATCGGAGTCCCAAAATAATGATTCATCAACTCCTGGTTTGGCAAATTTCACAATCTGCCTTGTGATTGCATAGCCAGTCTATGAACCTCGCCTCAGTAAAGCATTAAATCTCGTGACGGTAATTCCTAACCAAGCCAGCCAAGAATTCTCAATCCAACAGATCAAAACTATTCAGTTTCTCACCCTCCAGAGTAAGTGAAAAAATCAAACTAAAATCACAGAAGGTATCTAACTATAGATAGTGGATCAGAACCGGGATTCGATTAGGTCATAGCCAACTCCTACCAAGGCCTCCTTCCTAGGGGTAATCAGTTTCCGGTTCCAGTCCAATGGAACCGATCACTTTTTTGTCCCACTACTTGATGCCATCTTTTTGTGTTCCCCACCACTCTTTTAGAAAAGATCTGAGTAAAAGGACTCTAACTATGTGCTCATATATCTTCTACGATATACAAAAATTAAAAAAGTAGATTTATAAATTGCAGATCAAAAACAATAAACTAAACCCACCAATCATCGAGAGATAATGATTATTTTGCAACCATGAATGATCAAACATCAGTAATGATCCTCGAATTAAAAGACGAACCAAAAACCTACTTTTTTTTTGTCAGAAACCAAAAAAGTACTCCACTTAGGGTTTAGTTTACATTTTAATAATTTTTTCAAAGAAATGAAAAAAAAGTATATGTAGTCGGTTCGGTTCTCGGTTCGAACCGGACCGACACTTTCGGGAACCAGACCAAACCGGCCGGTCTAGTCCGGTCCGAGCGATTCCTAATTTGAGCGGTTCGTTTTGCACACCCCTAGTCCCTAGCAAAAAGAAGGTTAAAAAGAAGAAGAAGAAGAAGAATCTGCTATACAATTTACCTTAGAACAATATACCAACATCATCTAATAACGATAACTCTAACACAATACAAGACAAACAAAACTTATCCCTCCAGCTTTATTCATAGCTAAAACTGGGTTTCCGCTCAAAAGTGTAAAGTCATCTCGACATCCGGTAAATTAAACTAATACAATACGTGACTCACACTTACTTGAACACCAGCACTGAAGTCTTGCAGACTTTGATTGCCAATTCTTGCTCATCAGATTATGTTGCAAGATAGACATTTGCTTAACAAAAGTCAAAGTGACAAAAGGGTCTAGTGACTATGCAGTAGTAGCAAAAGTATACATCACAAGTGAAATCTTGAAATTATAACAATGATGTGGAAAAGTTCCACCTACAAACAATTGATAGAAAAAAAGAAAGTAGCGAGTACTGCTGATTGTAGATAATACTTGATGGTTGAGCATCTTGAAGAGAACCATCCGAGTCTTCTGATCAATAGCCTGCACAACCATATCCATGAGAACTTCTCGGAGATGCTAGTATCACTTCAGTAACTTTTAGGAGTGGGATGGGGCACTGCAATCGCAATATCTTTTAGAAGTGGTCTTACTTCTGAATAATTATTGCAAGAGGGGACATGAACCAATGCATACACCCATCAAACATTTTTTTTTTTTTTTTGGCCGAACATCATACAGTTTACTCAGCTATGATTCAGTCAAACCGAAATATTGATTTAGCAAAGAGACAGATTAAGCTTGCAATAGGGTTCGTTTCAACTTCAAAACTATTGATGATAAAATAAAAGTAACTATAGTTTGTTTTCCTATATCCATGAAGAATGATAGATTCTGAAAATTAATTCCGCTCGTGCTTCATGCCGAGTACAGAAGATTTCACCCTGGGATAGAGGTGCAAAGCAAAAGGAAGGAGGCCAATAAGAAACTGACTGAAAATTCTAATAGATCTTTAAGATGGACACATATTTACAGGGGATATATTGTCTTGAGAAAAATCCAAGCAGCAGATTACACTTAGTACAAAGAGACCGTATTGTGGCTGTTGTTACAACGGCAGCATGGAGAATTTTCATCGAAATATTTACCAAACGCTCTGTATAACGTTGATCAATCTTTTGATGAAAATGTACTTTACCTGCTCGACAGTTACATGGTCAGCTTTCTCATGACTTTTAATTTTGCCAATAGCCATATCCCGTACACTTTCTCAAATCGAAGTTGTAACTTTGCTGGACATGCCAACATTCACCCTTCCCTCCCACTCTTCCAGCATTCATTCATACAATTCATCCTTTCAATGAGTTAAATTCTCAGCAACATATAAGAAGCAAGAAAACATATGAGCGCACGCCAAAACATGTTTGGATGCAGAAGGAAGTGGTAGATATAGTATCAGTGCACTATATATCACCACATGCTTATTCATGTATCAAAAGTTCCAATCCAAAAAAAGTATCAAAATCTAAAATAGCATATGCTGATTACCAACCAAAATTGATGACATCATGAACTCAAGATTCTTTCTTTTTGGTGAAAAGTGGAAAAAGTTTAAAAATTGAAATTTCTTATGAAGTTCTATCACAATCATGGAAGTTGATGAAACTCGAAAGTGTAGACAGCACATAAGGGGAGACAGTAAAAAGGAGATTCACTAGTGTCATTTATTTGACTGTTACCGCAAGTAGACCTGCTATAGACAAGGTATATGTTTTCAAGCATTGCCACTTGATAAGTTTTGAGCACTCAATACAGCCACTTGTAAACAATGTTAGTGAAGCCTATAGGTAATCTATCATCGCACTAAAGGCAAGGTTTAAGAACTTCAATGAGAAGTGTTTGCCTTCTCAGGTAACTGATCAAAACTGTGCATTCTAGGAAAGCAACCATTCTGAGCAGCATATTACTCCAGTCACACTATATCAGTACAAAATTAATCACTAGATTATCCAGCCCTCTCGACAGAACAACCCCTAAGAATAGAAACCTATCCTTGTTATACTA